ATTTGCTGCCTGCGGAGAGGAATGAGTTTATTTCGGGAACTGGGAGGCCCGTAAGTTTAGGAAGGATATTTTCAGCCGAAGGATGGGTGCCGGTTCTGTTTTCCACTGCGGCTGCCATCAGATACCCATCTGCTGCTGGGGTTTGAAGCCTCCAGCCTGACTTGCTTCCTACACCTCCTCTCTGTATCTAATTGGAGGTGTGGCCCAGACCATAATCACCAAACTCTCCACCTGGTACTTAATCTTTTTTGTGATCAGGATTTGAAGCGTTAAAGATCCTCCTGCATGCCGTGAGAACACCTCCTCTTCCTCTGATCTTCCCTTCGTTAGCACCTCTGGTAATGAGCTACATAATGGAGCTTCTGGATGAGACACATTTCTGTGTTACCAAACACTGGCGCTAGTCGCCGTGGCGACATCCCACCGTGCTCAGAACCTGTCTGATGTCTCGGCCTCTGCACGGCTCGCTTCCAGCAGCAGCATGGAGGCTTGTCAGCCTGCAGTTCTGGTCCCGGCTGTTGCTCTTCTCCCCTTGGCGTCTTCCTCCAGACCTCGTTCATCCCCGCTCTGCTTCAGAGACTTTGTGCAAACATGGAGGGTTGGAGTGATGGAGGTCAGATGGATTCAGCGGCCTGGAAAAAGGAGCAGAAGCAAGTTGTCCTCTTGTCTTCTGATACCAGAAACAGTCAAGTGTTCAGTGATCTGAGTGGGTTTCTGTTTAATGGATCATTTTACCAGGAAGTCTCTGCTTTATTAGATGATTTTACTCATAAATCAGACAACAGGAATAAACTATAAGCTTCCAATGTACGTGCACATGTTTGAGACTCTTATTGTGAAGGATTAAAGGAAGTTCTGAGTTCCTTTATGGACACTGGTGCACAAGTATCCAACAGATACGTATGGAGCTCATCTAGGAGCAAAATTATTAGTGACTTGTTACTTTGAACTCGAGGTAACAGACAAAATACTAACAGGTGTTATTTTAGAGTGTTTGCTTTGTAGTGCAGATGATGGGAGGCTAGTTCTGCTAGCTTAGCAAACCAGCTCGTATAAACGTTAGCCACTTTTTCTATAACATTAGTTAAACTAGTAAAACTATCTGAGCTAAGTGGAGAAAAGCCGTTTAGCTTGCTTTTAGCACCCCCTGGTGTCCGTTTGTAAAAGCGTGGCTATATCCTCGCTGTGCGTTCATCTTTTTAACACCTAAAACCTAACAGCTGAAACGTCTCCCAGCGTTCCTAAGTGTCTACAGGAGTGATTCATCGCAAAATTAAACAAATCCGCTGTGTTCATGATCTAAAATTGTCGGCTTCGACGGACGAACTGTGGTGGGAAACAAGGATGGTGCCGTTCCACACGTGGAGGAGGACTGGCTGGAGCTGAAGCAAGGCAGTGTCCGGGTAAACAGTGGTTCAGCGAAGTGATGGCGTTGACGAGGAGTGAGAGAGGGGTTGAGCAGAGCGGCACTTGTGTTGGGACTGTTCGGGAAGCAGATACATGTAACATGGATCAGGAGCTCATGCATGAGAATCACACGATGACCGGCAACTTTGAAGTTGCAAGTGGAATATGGCCAAAGGGTGCGATAGGGTCTGGGTGGCCTTTCATGAACCCCATAAAGGGTCGTTTTAGCACATACTGGCTCTAGAAAATAACCCAAAAATATGAAAAAGTTGCTAATTTCACTGAGTCTGGCAGCGCCCCCTGCTGTGTGGGCAAATCAATAAGCAACAAGTTTAACTCTATGGGGACAAAAGAAGGTGTGGCTTGTATTGCAGCATTTGTGACATCAATGGATTTCTGCAGTTTTATCCACTAACTTGTGTCTGTTGTGGATAAAAATGTGATGAAAATGAGTCTGTGGGAAGATCGTGTCTGAGAGATAAAAATACACACAGGTTAACCCTAACCCTCACGTGTCCAAACACAGGTGTGGATGTGCTTTATAACACTTGTTCTGGATTACCTGGAGCAAAAGGCTAAATATGAGATTTGTCTGTACTTGTGACTAAAAGACTCAAAGACTGTTGTTGGTGTACTTTTTGAAGATGTGTAATTGTTGTTTTGTGTCTGTGAAAAAATCTGCCGGTGAAACTCTAAAAATGAGATTCATCAGCTGATTAGAGCGTGTCGCTAGAATATCGACCCTTTTCACAATATTCTAATTGTCTGAGTTTTTGAATTTGGGGTTTCTATCAGCTGTAAGACGTAATCGTCACAGTTATAACAAATTCAGGCTTTTAATATTTCTCTTTGCATGCAATGAGTTTCTCATGGATTAGTTTCACGTTTTAAGTAGAATTACAGAAATTAATTAACTTTTGTACCATATTCTCATTGTCGAGGTTTACCTGTACTGTCTACAGCTGATTTTCACTTCAGGTTTGCAACTACAAATAATTCTGCACCAATAATACATCCATAAGTTGTACCCAAGGGCGAAACTAGAAGTAAAGCCAACAGGGAAGTGTAATCAGTTGCAGTTCCCGCCTCATCCTCTAGGGGTTGGCTGCAACTTGTCATTGGGTGTTTCTCAATGCCTAGGTGCCTGGCCTTGCAAGGCGATGTCTGGCGAGGCCAGGCGCCTTGCTTACGAGGACACGGTCCTTCCTTGGTCAAAGAAAACGGTTAAATGGAACAGACTTGCATCACGTGACCGCGGCTTCCAGGGTGGTCACGTAACGTCACGTGACACGGAAGATAACGTTATATTTTATACGTATTAGTTGCAATATAAATATATAACGAGACTTTTACGTTTTAAATTGTGCATATGTTTATTAAATTAAATATAAGTGAGTTACTACCCGCTAGCCACCGAAGCTGCAACTGCTAAGCTGCTAACCAACCATAGATAACTTCTTTGGATCTTAAAAAACATTTTAAATTAGCTGACTTACTTTTAAACTTGAAAATTGTCCCCGAAGTAGCTGCCGGCTTCTGATCCGCCGTCCTTTAGAAAATACCGCGGTGTATTCTGGGTAATTTTTGACCAAGGCTAGGCTACAAGACACGTCTCGTGTATCCTCGCTCAGCTAGCTAAATGGCTAACAAACGGAGAACACACGCCTCGGTAGAACAGGAACATTGGAACACGTCTTGGCGGCTCCCGATGGCGTATCTCCTAGGTAACCGGGGCGGGGCCAAGACATCAAGGCAAGGTTCCTGCAGAACTAAACATGTTTATAGTCTGGTTCAAAAACATTTTAGGTTTACTAATTAACCACGGGGCGACGGTGGCACATGAGTTAAGTGCTTGTCCTGGAAGGTTGGAGGTTCGAGTCCCACTCAGTCTGTTGCTGTCATTGTGTCCTTGGGCAAGACACCTTGCCTGCTGATGATGTCAGGAGGGACCGGCAGACTTGCCTCTGTCAGTGTGCCCCAGGGCAGCTGTAGCTACAGTGTAGCTCATCACCACCAGGGTGTGAATGTGTGTGTGTGTGTGTGTGAATGGGTGAATGACTGATTGTGTTGTAAAGCGCCGTCCAGGACTCTAGAAGGCGTTATATCAATATATGAATTTTTATTACTCATCCATTTAGATGAAATAAAAACTTGTAATAGTGATTTATGAGGTACGTGTCCTTCTGATTGACTGGTAGCAGATGATAATAATAATAATAATAATAATAATAATAATAATAATAATAATAATAATAATACATTTTATTTAAAAAGCACCTTTCTGGCCACTCAAGGACACTGTACAGAATAAAAACACAAATCATTCAATGAAACAAAAGTAGACATAAGTACAGCATAAGTAAAGATAACAAACAAGGCATTCTAAAATTGATATGAAGAGGTGAGTTTTGAGTTGTTTTTTTTAAATTTTGTGTATGAGTTCATGTCCTTGTTGTGAGGCGGAAGGGAGTTCCAGAGTTTGGGAGATGAGCCGTCAGCGCTAGCGCTAGCTGCTTGCCCTCCTGCTTACTCCAGGAAGGACCTCGACCTCTGCCTCGCATTAGAAGTGTTACTGGCTAGAAGGCGAAGGGTAGCAGAGGGACTCAACTGTGGTCTTCTGGCTAAAAACGTACGCCAACCTCCGTTAGCTTCAGTTAGCTCGCGGCTACGGTTGTTCAGAGTTTGATGGGTGTCGATCATCTGGGTGGGGGTGGTGGGAACTGCCCACTGGGCTTCATTTCAGCTCTTCAGAAACGTGCGGGTGATGGAGCGAAGGGTTTGTCCATCTTATTTATGGAGTCTGTGATTGTACCTGGCGTTGGTAAAATGGCTTATTTAAAACACACCTAGCAGAAGTTCATGCTGCTTCCTGTCCAGGTCCTTCAGAGTGGTCCCAGCTGCTCTGGTGGAACGTTCCTGGCCTCCATATCCGTTACCTTGGTAATCCATGTTTTATTAGATTAGGGTCGATGGTGGCATCCATTACCTCCTCATGACAGATAAACGGTCTGAATCTCATCTCATGGAGCCTCTCGGGGCTGCTGAAGGCTGGCGGGTCATCGAGCTGAGAGGAGGTCGCCGTCACCCAGAAAGATGAATGAGTGTGACATCACTCGAGTGGGGAGGTGGGAAGGTTCTGTTAAAGGGGTCTGAAATGTACCGCTGCCTACTTAATACTCCGACCGTCAGTGCGCTCCAGGGCAGCTGTGGCTACATTCTAGCTCATCACCATCAGTGTGTGAACGGATGAAGGATCTACTGTTGTGTAAAGTGCTTTGGAGTCCTCTGACTCAGGAAGGTGCCACACAAGTGCAGGTCATTTATCATAATGTGCTTTTGTTTCATGATAAAGACACCAGTGATGCACATGACCTGTGACCTTAGACCCACCCCGTTTTATGATGACCTTCATGACCTTTATGATGAGACGAAACTCAAACTCGTTGATTTTCTAAATGGTTTCAGCAGCTCTGGGATCCTGGTAGACGCCAGCCGCCGTCGGCGGTTCAGAACTTTTATCTTTTATCTGAAGGAGTTGAGACGACGTCGGGGTTCTTTCTCATGTTTTAACAGCTCCTTTCTTCTCTCGACAGGTGTACGTCATCAATGTCACCTACTCTGACAACACCTCCCACATCATCTACAGAAGATACAGCAAGTTCTTTGACCTCCAGGTAATCCTCCATCACTCTCGGCATGTGGGTGGTGTTTCTGCTGATGCTGTTCTTCAGCAGGTCCGACTCATAAAGCTGCAGCGTTGTTTTGTATAGATTAATGAGCGAGGCACGCCACTGCCGCCGGCTCGTAGCCTCCATGAATCACCGTTGCTTATTGGTCGGGAGGATGCAGTTTGTATTCCTCAGCCTGGTGGAGATGTAGCGCCGCTCCCTCTGGATCTTCTCTCCATGCTCCTCTTCCTCTCTTCTTATCCCTGCGTTGCCCTCAAAACGTCAGGGAGCTGTCAGGCCCGTTTTAGGTTGTATAAGCACGGAAAAAATCCACATGGAAGTCAGTTTAATGCATTTTGTGTGTGTGTGTGTGTGTGTGTGTGTGTGTGTGTGTGTGTGTGTGTGTGTGTGTGTGTGTGTGTGTGTGTGTGTGTGTGTGTGTGTGTGTGTGTGCGTGCGTGCACTTCTTTATTTAGAGCTGCTCTTTCCTGTAGTTCAAATACTTTCCTCTTCTGGTTCAGTGGAGGCAAACCTGATGGGCCCACTCGTAAGGATGCTTCACCAGCATAGGTCAGCGCGTTGGGGGGGATGGGTAGAACCAGAGTTTATTAGCCCCGCCCCCATATGGGGTTATACGTGACTGAGCGAGGTAGACATGATGTTCAGCTGCTGAGAGGAACCTAACGACTTCTGGATATCTGCAGACCGACCAGACCAAACTCAGCATCTGTGAAATCCATTTTGTTTGTTTTCTCAGACAGCAAAGGTCAAAGGTCACAGCTCTTGGTCAGGTTTTAATAGCTTGTCAGGAAAAGTGGCTCTCATCCGGCAACTGACTCAATGTTATGGATGTGCGGCACATCGAAGTTTTAATTTACATCCTTAAAATAAAAAGTCTGAATCTGCAGACCCCCCCCCCCCCCCCACACACACACACACACACCCACCCACACACACACACACTATAGTTGAACACAGGATTTTCGGTCAGCTCTGAGGCATAAGAAGTAGTTTGATTACTTCACTTATACTTAACTGGACCACTCAAGAGACAGCATAGATAAAGTAAGATGGGGGAATTCTGGGAAAAAGCTCAGACTTTCCAAATATATTCCTGGGAAAAATACTGGATATGGCCTGAGTCTAGAAAGTCCCAAATGAACCAGAATCTCCTCCTGTTTGCTCAGTTGAAGACATAATTGGGTAAATATACGAGATGTACTTTATAAATGTGTAATAACCTATTTCTGTGCTGCTCGTTTGTTTGTTTGTTTGTTTGTTTGTCTCGATGCGACATGCCCTCACCGACACAGGGACGATGCGTCGCTCCGGTCCTCAGAACCGCCCGTCTCCACTGAAAAATCAAATAAAAGTTTCCTTTTGTCGTCCTGGGATGCTTGATATCTGGTTGATCTCCGTGTTTTCGGAGCGTTCTGGAACCGATCCTGTCCAAACATTTACCTGCTGCAGGTGAGAGAACCGCGGACACAGCAGAGGTCTTGGGAAACCGGTTCTGGTTCCTGATTCGGTCTGTACCGTTTCTGTACTGCTCAGATGAGCTGATGGTCTGAGAGCTTTCACCATCTCTCTACATCTCTTCTGGTGCAGACGGCACTGGGACGATCCGGATCCAGACTGGGTCGGGACATGAATTCCAGCCAAAGCTGAATAAAAATAGAAATAATGTCTGAAAGCTGCTTGAACAGGCCAGATTCTTCATGGTCCAGGCTCTTGGTGGCCCAGGTTCATCATCATCCAGGTTCTTCATGGACCATATCCAGCAGGTGAATTTAGAATACAGGCTGTTTTATTCCCAGATCGTCCTGCTGGAATTCCTGCTCATTGAACCAAGAATTCTGTCACTCCGTCTGTTTCTGCTGCAGCTTCTTGAACATCTGGTTCTAGTTTCTTCTCGGTCCAGCAGCTCGAGCCGCTGAAACATTCTCTGCTTTCGGCCGTGTGTTTATAAAACATGTCCACTGTCCTGATGTCTGTTGTCTGGAGACACACACGGCAGCTACTCCTCTCCATCCCAGTGTTCCTCATTGGCCTGAGCCTCCGCTCCGCTCAAGGTCTCCCCTTATGGAAGCTCTTCTTCATGGGGAACCTTCTCAAGGTCTTCTCTTTCAGCCAAACTGCTGCTGCTTACTGTGAGGAGAAAAGTTTCTGTTGTCGTTATTTCCTGGTTTTCCGGAGCGTGGAGCGTTGGGCTGAAGGTCAAATGTTATCGGCAGCTTGGGATGAAAGGAAATACGAATGGAGCAGATGTGGTTCACCATGTCCTCTCGCTCTGCCGCTCACAGAAACACTCACAGCGTCTTGGTTTTAAATATAAAAATATCCCATCAGGAATGTGGTTTTATTTATGTTTCATCATAGAACTCCTGATCCTGAACAGAGCCTCCTCCAGGAGACCGGCTCGGTGGTACGCCTGGGTTATGGGGGGGGGGGACATCTGATAGGTGGGTTTGGACCTGTTCTTGTTCTGAAACAGCTGATTCAGAACTTCGCACACTGATCACCGGTATCGGTGCCAGTCTCAGGTCTCAGCTCGGCCAGCGGCTCGTGGGTTAATAAACAACCACTGAGTAAACATCCAGCTGGTCGGAGCACACGGAACACGGGTTCTACACGCCCTCCATCCGGGTCAAGGCTGATATACGGACACCCCCCTGTCCCTCCCACACACACACACACACACGCACGCACACACACACGCACGCACACGCACACGCACGCACACGCACACGCACGCACGCACACTTTTCCCAGGCCATGTTTGACTGTTTTAAATGTGTGTGTGTGTGTGTGTGTGTGTGTGTGTGCGTGCGTGTGTGTGTGTGTTCCTCCTGATGGCCCATTACACGATGATGTAATTGATGAAGACCTCTCCTTCTCAGCTGGTTTTTAATGGCTGTAGCTCAGACTCAAGAAGTGTTTCATAGCAAATCTTTTCAAATTAAAAGCACTGAAACTTTTAGGAAGTTTCATCTCCAGAAAGTGACCTCAGTGTAGATATTTATTTATAATATAATTATTTATCCTCACACACACTCTGAGGGCTGCAGGGTTGTACGCCATGAGATAAAAGATAAATGAGCACTTGTGCGTTCCCTCTCTGAGGCAGAACACTCCAGAGTGCTTTAGTCGTTAGTTCATTCCTTTGTTTTGTTTCTTCATTCATTCGTTCACACACACGTTCGCATGCTACTGGTGATGAGCTGCACTGTGGTCATGCTTTAGCACAGATTATGACTATTATCCACCTTTTCTCAACACACAATCATTTTAGTGGAAACAAGGATGAAGATTGCTCGTTTTTTCCCATTTGGACCATTTTTTTTGGATGCGTTTGGACATCCAGGCTTCCGTAGCAGCTGCTCTCTGTATTATTAAGTAAAAGGAGAGAAACCTTCTCTGATGAGTAAATAAAATATCTAGTGCTCTGGGATTTTGACAAGCCGCTCTGCATCTGAAAACTTCCCATTCCAGATGTCAGGATTTCTTTTAAGGGAAATCGGGAACGTTGTTTTAATGTTTGTTAACCCGTTCCGCTGAAGTTAAACTGTTTTTGTTCTTCATAATCAGACCAAATTCAAGCAGGAGTTGAGTCTGATCCCAGCTGTGGACACGGCGGCGGAGGGCCGATGGTTTGAGCTGGTTCCGACCCAACCGGACTCACCGAGTCCCCTCTGATGTTCTAGAGTGTGATGTGATCTGTTTGAAGCTGAAGCTGGTATCTGAACCTGGTCATGAACCAGAACCCTCAGAGAGATGAGCGGACCAGAACTTCTCCAGAACCACTGATTTATGTTTTTACTGGACCTTGCAGCTGGACAGTTTTTCCTTCAGAACCCGTTTCTTCTCCTCGATCGGCTCGATTCAGTAAGTCCATCAAAACATAAAGGTTCTGATGGTTTCGACCATGTAGGCCACGTGAAAGCAAGCTGGGCAGATGTTCTCTGGTGTTCTCCGTGCTCCTGACAGCGTCACAGCTTCAAACATTTATGGTTCCGAGTCTCCTGGTTCTGGAACAGCTGGGAGCTAACAGCTGACTGGGTCAGCAGTGCCCTACTTTTCTCCCCTCTCTGTCACACACCAGAACCGGGAGGGCTAATTTTAGCTCCTGTGTTTGTCATTTTGTTCCTTTTATCCCTTCCAGCCCTCTCCTGGTTCCTCCGTGTTTCCAAACCTGGGAATCTGAGCTGAGGAGGACGATCACACGTCAGAGCTGAAGATTATACCATCCCAACACGGATCCGGTGCAAACGGGTCGGATGTGGATTGGTGGGATGTTAGCAAACATTAGGAAACCCTAACAGCAATCATAAAGTTAGCAGCTGTTCAGGATTTAACCAGAATTCCCGCATTTCTCGACCCTAACCCAGTTACAACAGTGCGTGCGTGTGTGTGTGTGTGTGTGTGGGGGGGGGGGGGGGTACTTTAATTACAATATAAATGTCTGAAGATGCTTATCAGACTTTCTGGGTTTAGGGAAACCCGGTGTCGCTCCACCATCAGAAGTTCGGGTCTTTATCTCTGTGTGCAGCAAACCGCAGGAAGAAGTTTGGAACACTTCTCTTCCTACTCGGAGACCTTTTGCTTCTCATCCAGATCTTCTCAGTTCAGGCTGAAAGGTTTGGAGCTCCTCAGATGAGAGGAGTCCTGGGATAGATTACCCATGATGCAGAGGGCTTTTGCTGGCTCCTCCCACCCTCCCGGGCCAGGTGGAGCTGTTGCGAGCTGGCCGGCCTACTTTCAGACCAAACAAACGTGGTTCTGCTCTGGAAAGCAGAATGTTTCTGGGTTACGTCGACAGAACCGAGCCAAGCTGCTGAAAAGGGCGTTGGAACGTTTAGCTTCCATCTCTGGAGGGAAGTTAAACGCTGGACGGGAATCAAAGCTTGTAGGATTAAACAAATCCAGTTTCTGCTTCTTTTATTAGAAATAAAAAAAATGCTACGAATCTCATTTCTTCCTCCTGTTTGCTGACTGGTGATGTAATGGTGAAGCACTAACTGGTTCCAGTAGACGATGGTCTTTCATTAGTTCCAACAGATGTTTTCTGATTATTTGATGCTTTTATTTTCCTGCAGAATTCCCGACAGGACAAACCGTAAACCACCAAACCGGAATTCCTGTAAACCAGATTACTTGGTCGTGGGTCGTGGGGGCTGCAGATCAAACCCTCTTGTTTTTGTGAAGTTGGAATAAAAAACAGTTTTTTCAGTTTTACTCTCAGATTTCAGGCAAATGCAAAACTAACTTCTTCCTTGTGACATTTGAGTTACTCCAGCTAAACGCGTTAGCAGGCCAGAGCTTCTGAGTGCTCTGCTGCATCAACAGTATGATGGTTCAGAACCTCCAGGGCTATTTGATGTTGACCCGGGCTTTGTGGTATTTCTCAAAATAAGACAACAGAATTATTTAAAAAACGAACTCTGGTGAATTCCTCAGAGGAAGCGGTATCCGGGCTCTTCCCGGGTTTGTCTCCGGAGTTCTGGGGGAGCAGAGCAAGAGGCCAACTGCAGACAGACAAGTCACCATGTCTGCAGCTGCTAGGGACCCCCCCCCCACACACACACACACAGAGTCAGAAACAGATCTTGGTCCATCGGGTCCACCCCCCCACCCCCACCGCCACCCCCACCCCCCATCAGAAGCCCGCATATCAGGTTCCATCCTCAGCGATTTGGTGCCAGTGTGCCAGTTTATATTTAGACAACTGTGGTTGGACCCTAACACACACACACACACACACACACACACACACACACACACACACACACACACACACACACACACACACACACACACACACACACACACACCCCTTTGTGCATGCATGTGCGTGTGTGTACGCAGGTGCATGCATGTTTGTGCAAGTGTGTGTGCATGTGTGTTCACATGCACAGATGTGTGTGTGTGCGTGCACGTGTGTGTGTGTTGGTTAAAGTGACAGGAAACCTGCTAGCAACACGCAGACGACAGATCTCCCATCAACTCAGCTCCGAGTCGCTTTTCCCACCAGAAATGGTGAGAACGTCACGTCGGTCACGAGCTCTTCCAGAGCTTCAGTTTGTTTCTGTTCCAGCAACACGAAGCCTGGGAGAAACCCCCACAGTCACATGACCCCCCTCCCCCCTCGCCCAACAGGAAGTGACTTATCAGTCCAGTGCACATTAATGGAGCAGCGTGGCGTCCCCTAAGTTCAGCCTGCTCTCACAGATCCTTATACAGAGGATCTAATCCTGGCCCAGAGGCCTGCTGTTCTGGTGTGGTCCAGCGGCCAGTTCAAACTGGAAAACCACGCTGAATGGGGATCAGACAAGTACATCACTAGGATGCAAGTGGACAAGGAAATCTGCAGACATTTCTAAAATGTGGTGAAACATTCTGTGCATCTCTTCTAACTGCATCACTTGGTTCTTTTTTAGCACAGAAAGGAGGTGTTTTGGTTTTTTCGCTGATGTTTCGGCTTCTACTGCAGTCTTCTTCAGAGCTCACCGCTGTTGGCGGCACCGTCCTCTGCTGCCCACGGATAAACGGAGAAGGAAGTGACGCCGCCAACAGCGGTGAGCTCTGAAGAAGACTGCAGTAGAAGCCGAAACATCAGCGAAAAAACCAAAACACCTCCTTTCTGCGTCGTGAAACATTCCTGAGAGCTTTTAATGTCCCTGTGTGGCTCTGAGGGTGGGATTCTGTCCCGGAGTCTCAAACTTGTCCCAGTCTTCATGCAGGACTCACAAAATGTGAGAGAACTTGGAGAGGAGTTGGAGATCAAGTTGCAAGCAAATCAAGATGCTTCAAGTTCAGATGTAGCTGTACATGACGTGTCACACGGAACCGACCAGAACCTCCCACCAGGAGTTCAGAACGTAGTCGTAGGAGCCCGTTCGTGACGATACGTAACCTCCCACCTCTCTGCGTCTCCATGCAGTCGCCAGCCTCAGACACGCTTGTAAACAAAGATTACGTCCAGGTTCGAGGAGAGGAAACTGCTCCACAGACACTTTGGTTTCTGGATAGCTTCACATGTTCCATCTTTCAGATCCGGACCGAAGTTCTGGAAGACGTGGATGTCGTGGTGAGTTTGCTGTACTCTCAGGACTCAGCTCACTGATCAGGTCAGGTATAATGACCGTGTTTCAGGAGGACGCCGGGCTTCGTGGATGAAGTTCAGTAAACATAGTTCCTGTTTCTGATGAAGACCGTGTGTGTGTGTGTGTGTGTGTGTGTGTGTGTGTGCGAGCTGCTTTAACAGAAACAGACTAGTCCCTGAAACAGGAGCTGGTGAGGTAAACATTACATCACCCTAACCTGCTTGGCTCTGACAGCAGATGAAACACAAATCCTCCTCCGTTCAGTTTTTTTTAACCTGACTCGCTACGTTTCCACCAGTGGTCCAGAGCTGCGATGCGGCATCCAATCACATCTCTTCACAACTCGTCTTCACGCTCTCCCTGAGCTGGTTACCAAGGAGACAGTGAGCTGGAGTCTGAGGAGTGGAGCAGTGCTTTGGCTTGAATGTTTTTTATTTTATTTAATCGTTTGGTTTCTCTGGCTGAGCGGTGGGAGTGGGATCTGACGGTTAAAGTTGAGGTTGTGTGTCTGTGGAATACCCCCCCCCCCCTCCCGTTCTTGACATCTTCTCCTTTAGTCTTCCGACAACTCCTGGCTGGTTGTGAGCTCTTCTCCTCCTGCCAGGAATCCGTCAGCAGGAAGAGTATTTTGAAGCTTCCGACATCCAGAGGTGGTGTAAAATAATGACTCAGCCTCCATCCATCTGGCTCAAAGGAGAGCCAGGTGGACTGACTCTGACCAGCTGTTTTTTTATTAAATAAATTTGCCCCATCTCCTGTTTAGAGCAGCGCTTCGGACTCATTTAGAATCTGACGGCAGCTCCTTTGAAGCCGTTCTTTTGCCCGTCCATCACCTGGCCGTCCTTGTGCGTCTGACAGAGTCGGCAGGAAATCCATAAATTCAGCAGGATTTCTTTTTCCTTTCTGTCCCGTGCAGGGCCGGAGAGTTCCAACCGCTGCAGGTTCAGAGCTGCAGCGGCAGCGAGGAGGCGGAAAACTCAAAAAGCAGAAAGCCGGCAGCTTTAGCAGGGGAAGGGTTCGTCTGTGTGGTGTTCTGATTAGAGATGGACCAACACGAGTACCGCTGATGACCGATAGGTGCTGCTGATTTTCATGGCAGACATCCAGACATTTTGCTTCTCACCTGCACACTGAAATGTCACTAACAGGAACAGGAAGTGACATTTCAGAATAAAGTTTGACTGGCTTCAGTTCTCCCCTGAAGTGGAAACATCAAACTAGGAACACAGCTCTTATTTGTTTCTTGATAAAAAGATGAAACCAAACAGAAAATGTTATACATCATGAGAATTATCACCCAGAGCCTGGGAGCGGGAGGCAGGGGAGAATGTTTTTGCCTGCCTTTGTTTGTGTAGAGGACACTTTTGTCCAAAGCAACTTACCGATGATCATGTAGAAATCATTTTGTAAACACAATAGTCTTAATTTACTCTTTAGGTACGTGGAAGCATTTTGGAGTCTGGTCATGGGAGCTCAGTTAGCTTCCCTAAGCTAAGCTAAGCTAAGCTAAACAAACACACAAACAGGAAGTTGGAGAATTATCTGATTCTGCATCTTGTGAACCTCCTTCAATAATGGAATGAGATGAATTAGACCGTACCAGGCGCTGATCACTGGAACTGTCTGTGAGCTCTGGAGTGAGCCAGGCTATGTGTTGATGCTGAGCTAATTGCCTCTTGGCTCCATCCTCAAATCCCAGATCGGGATTGGGATATTGATCCTCTTATCTTCCACTCTGAAACAAAACAAGTTAATCCCAGAATGCCGAGTCTGTTGGGTGATCATGCTAAGCTGTTCACTCTCCTGCTCTTCCTACAGATGCAGCTACTTGACAAGTTCCCAATTGAGGGAGGGCAAAAGGATCCCAAGAAGAGGATCATTCCATTTCTCCCAGGTAATAGCCTGCTCCTGCAGCTCCACTTATCTGAATAGGCTCTTATATTAAAAATGCATGACTGGCACTGGTGGGGCGTCATACTGAGCTGGTTACTGATGCTGTGTGTGTGTGTGTGTGTGTGTGTGCGTGCTTGATGATTAAGCAGTATCTGTCAGTGTGCCCCAGTGCAGCTGTGGCTACGTCGTAGCTCATCACCGTCAGTGTGTGAATGTGTGTGTGAATGGATGAATGATACACTGTAATGTAAAGCGCTTTGGAGTCCTTACTCTGAGAGGCGCTATACAAGTGCGGGTCATTTATCATCTGTGAGTTTCTGGCTCAGCTGTGTGTCCCTGACACGCTTATTTTAGAATCAAACACACTTGTGACTCAGCTGTTGTATGACTGTGATCACATGAATATTTTTATGTTTTTGAGTCCTCTCTCTCTCTCTCTCTCTCTCTCTCACACACACACATACACACGCATGCAAGCACGCACGCACACACGCACGCACGCAGGCGCACACACACACACACACACACACACACACACACACACACACACACACACACACGCACACGCACGTACGCACGCACGCACACACGCACACACGCACACCTGAGCACCATGACAGAGATTGTGATGTGTTCCTCCTGCAGACGCTTAAGGAGCGATGTGCTTTTCTTCATTTACTAGAGGTTATTTTGGTAAATGCTCTGTCTAAGCCCTCTGTGAGCCCAGTGTAACTGCAGATGCTCCCAGTCTTTAAAAGATAAATGAATGACCAGAACAACATGAGAAGAAAATTGTAAAACGACGTGTTTTAGCTTTGTTGGTTGGCCAGAGCAACGAGAGGTGTTGCTTTCAGCCGTGAACACAGAAGTGTGTAGAACGGCTTGTGAGGCAGTACGTTTGTCGACCTCTAGATGGCGCCATCAGGTAAAACACTCTGGACTGAAGCGTTAAACTGGTTAAAAATCTCACTGAGTTGGCTCTGCACTGCAGTGGGTAGAGAAAGAGGAACGGTTATATTGAACGTGTGTGTGTGTGTGTGTGTGTGTGTGTGCATGTTGGTTCCCTACCCAACCTTGAACAGGTTGTCAGAGATTTTTATTATTTCTTGTGGGGAAGAAGAGCAGATTTTACAGCCAGAGGTTTCCTAGTGGGGACTAAAACCGTAGCTTAGAATTTTTTGGACTTTAAAAATTTAATGCAAGTTTCTTTTCAGGACAGGATGATTTTACACCAGAGTCAGAAAGTTTATTCATTTTTAAAATTCACTTATTATAAACATGATTAAATAAAAAATTTAAATTCCAAACAAACAAACAAACAAGCTAAAAGACAAAATAACATCATTTTATTTAAATCACTGCAATAAAATGAAAAATATGAAAGAACAACAAGAAAAGCTGAAGACACATTAAATGTTAAACAGAGCTGCTCTTGAGCCTCTGATTCCATGCTGGTCCATGACTCCGGGTTTTCCAGCTACCGGTTGTTCCTGAACATCTGAACCAAGTTCCTCATCTGAAAAGGACGGTGTGGGTCTCCTGCATGTCTGAGAAACCCGTACTTACCAGCAGCTGATGATTCTGAACTGGACTGTTGTTTAGAAACAGCTGTAATGGTCGCCGGGGCAACGGCCCCAGCACCCTGTGCTGCTCATTCCTGACCTCTCCTGGCAGACGAGACCATGACGCGATGCAGTTAGATCCTGTCTGTTTACCCTGAATGTTCTCTCCTCTTCTTTCCTTCCAACTTCACTCCTTCCCTCAAAATTTCCCTTCTGTTTTGACCGTTTGTTCCCTTTTCCTCCCCTTCCAGGAAAAATCCTGTTCCGGAGGAGTCACGTGCGAGACGTGGCCATGAAGCGGCTGCGTTTCATCGATGACTACTGCAGGGTAAAGAGGCCTCGCTAATCATGATTCTGTCCTCCTCTGACTTTAAACGTGGAGGGGGTGGGGGTGGGGGTGGGTGGGTGGGGGGGGGGGGGGGGAGTCAGCTGTAACCTCTGATGCTCAGAGAGGAAGTTCTCATCCAGTATGGACTTCCTTTCCACAACAAAACACTTCAAAGTGATTATACAGTTCAAGAGAGGTTTGATTATCACTTCCTGTTTCAGACCCCCCCCCCCCTCCTTCCTTCCTCCTCCCATAAAGCCAGTAGCAGTGACAGTGGGAGATCACAGCAGCAGAAAGGGCTCCCAGAGCAGCAGCTCATTAAGAGGGATTAAAAGTGAGAGCAGCTACATCTGAACTGATCCGGATCTCAGAGAAGATTTTAAAAACGCAGATTTCGTCACCTGAATTAGCCGATGGTTGCTCCTGCTGCAGTAACAAGCTGGGTGTCTCATCATTCTCTGTTTACCTCCAACATCCTGTTCATGAGACGAAGAGCAGAGAGGAAGAGTCATACCCCACCTCTCTCCCCGGAGATGCCAGGATGCTGATTCCCACCAGCTGTGGATGCTCCGAGTGGTCTGGCCTCCTCCCAGCACCTCCAGGCTGCTTTAGAAACATTAGACCTGATGAATGAAATATGAAGGTGGTTGGACGGTGATGGAGGCGAGTTAAATGAAAGGCACGTGGTGAACAGATCATATTTTCACGGTTCAGCTCCCCAGTGCTGTACTGCAGCTCTGCCTTTGCTTCGAGCCGTTCGGATCATTAAATATTGATGCTTAACAGACACTTGATCCTCCCAGACTGAGGGGCTCAACCTCTGAAGACACACGGACACGACTTCAGGTTCAGATCAGCGTGATTAAACCAGACCTGCGGCATCTACAACATGTGTCATTAAAAACAGGTGCTTAGTTCTACACCTGCATCAGGACTTTACTGTTTCCATCCAAGGTTGAAAAACGTCTTCAGAAGCTGATCGTTCCACTTAAACAACCTAGGTGTGATCTAAAGCTCCAGTCATATCCTGGTTTAAGTTCCCTGCTCCACAAGAACACACCCCTACAGTCAGCTGAGCTAACAGGAAGTCAGCAGGTTGAACAAATGTAGTGTTTTTGATTCTGACTTCTCATCTACTGATTCTGAACACGGCTCTAAGCGTGTGCGTGTCTGTGACCTGCAGAAGGAGAAAGAGCAGAAGCAAAATGGGACACAACAACAATACATCAGGAGCAAGCTATCACTGCATCAGCCTGATGAAGAAATATAAAATCAACATTGTTTAACTGAACAATCACACGATAATAAATCACAGCGCATTTAGTGCCAACCACAGCCTTAAGACATGTGTTTAACGTGCCCAAGCCCATACTTATGAGAGCACCATGTGAGCACCTGTGTGTGTACACGCGCTTGTTTATGTAAGGATTCTCTATAGGAGCGTCCACTAGAGAGTGTGAGGGGCCACAGATCTGCCCCCTAAAGATGTGCAGGAGACGGGGGGAGCTCCAAGTCCCAGAGATCCAGGCGATGCCCCAGAACACAGGAACTCCAGGGAGACTGCGACCAGAAAAGCCCCCGCTCTCCTCGAGAGGCGCAGAGGATCACCCCGGGGGGCCACAACCAGCAGCCGGCAGAGTCCTGGGAGATATCAGCGGCAAGCCCACAGGCCCGCCCACAGCCCCCCACCCCCTAGCCGGCCGAGCCCGGGACCCAATGACCCGGGACCCAGGGGCGACCACCCCCGCTGGGGACCCAGCAGAGCCCAGGGACCCAGACCCTACCAGGCAGCCACCGGGATTGGTCAGGCAGATGCCAAAAATCTTAAACTCCCTAACCCGGGAGCCATGACCCAGGCAGACCAAAGCTTGGTTTATGCTTGACGCGTTTACTTTCCGCTTGGTGATGCGGCTCGCGGATGGAACGCGCTTCACAACTCGCAGCGTTTATGGTTCATGCGGCTTGTCTCTGCGGTGAGCCAATATTCTCCCAAACTGTAGGGGGCAGCATGGAGCTCTACAGCATGCATCCAACACTACACCATAGTAGACGTAGGAATTTCTGTTTACAACATGGCATTCCAGCATTTTTAACAGCGTCCTCGTCTTTTCCGACAGTGCGAGCTATTTCTCTCCAAGAATTATTAACATCATGTTGATCACGGTGATCTCTGAGAGCTGAATCATACAAATGTCTGTATTTACCAACCTCTGCCTAGTTCTTGCCAGTCCGCCATGTTTTTCCGCGTCTGACCGTCCGCGTGGTTAGAAAATTTCCTAGGTGCGCGGTGCGGAAATTTTGAGTAGCCCCTGGCTGCCTCCCGGAGATCGGGGCGGGGCTAAATGTGGGTGGGATCAAACGTTTATAGGAGGGTGGAGACAACTATTTGACTCCTGCTCCTCTTCAATGGAACCAGGAAACTGCGAGTAGCCCCTGAGTTAAGGATTAAAAAGCCCTAAAACCCCACAAAACCCATGTAAAGCATAACATTGGTAATCAAATTACTTGTTTGCTGGATGTCATGATAATTTTAAAGAAAGGGCAGATAATTAAGTTAAATGAAACAGGCGCCATTTTTGATCCAATCTGTTCTGATATTTTTATTCTTTTTTCTACTTTTGTGTATGGTATGTGTATTTATAGCACATAGGTATTTGTGTCTTTTAGCTATACTTTTGGTACCTATTAAAAAGGCTCAAGCATTTGATAAGACTATTCTTTAAACCTGTCAAAACCGTTTTAATAGTTTATTTTATCAATGCCGCCTTTATTTTGATAGTCATTTCCCAAGTGAGGTAAAACAGTACAGACAGACACGGGTACATTTGTTGTACACTCAGTTATATCAGCTACATTAAGAGGACCAGAGACTTAAATTGTGTTGATACTTCTTAAAACATGCCAGGGTTTCAGGCGGGGTGGTGAGGCACCCAAGAATGCAGACTAAATTCTTCAAGAAGGTAAATTTAACGGAGCAAACAACAGCCAACACAGGAATAAATAAAAAGTACAAACAAATGAACCAAAAAGCACACAAAAAAAGAGAATCTCCAAAAAAAAAACAACAACAATGTAAGGCGGAAACAGAATGCAAAAACTGAGTTTGACACCGCTGTACTATGGTATTTCAAAGCCAGAAAACACCTTCATCTTCCTTTTGTCCACAATGTCTTGCAGAACTCCTCATAGTCTGAAAACTAAACACGAACAGGAACGGTTCCCTGCAATCATCCATCTCCTCTTCATCCAGGCCATCACAGAAGCATTCAATTAAATTCAATTCAATTCAAAAATACTTTATTAATCCCAGAGGGAAACTGATTGCTGTAGTAGCTCAGAATAATAATAATAATCATCAAGTCATCAAAGAGGTGTTGTATATAACAATGGCTGTTGGCAGGAAGGATCTCCAGTAGCGGTCAGTGTTGCAGCCAAACTGAAGAAGCCTCTGACTGAAGACACTCTTCCGTTGTCGGACAGTCTTGTGAAGAGAATGCTCAGGGTTGTCCATCATGTTCTTGATTCTCTGGAGAATCCTTCTTTGCATGATCTCCTCCAGCGGTTCCACAGTCGTCCCCAGAACAGAACCAGCCTTTGTTATTAGGCTGTTGAGCCTTTTCAGGTCCCTGCTTCTGATGCTGCTACCCCAACAGACGATGGCTGACGAGATTACACTCTCAACAACAGACTTGTAGAAGATCTGCAGCATCTTGCTACAGACATTGAAGGACCTAAGCGTCCTCAAGAAGTGCAGTCTGCTGTGTCCCTTCTTGTAAACGGCGTCGCATAACCTCTCCACTGCCCTCCGGCAAGCTTCCCTGTCCATGGTGATGACCTGGGGAAGGGAAATGTTTCCTTTGAAGGACCTTGTGGTACACCACCTTGCTGCCTCAAAGGTGTCCTCAAGCAGAGAATTGTCCTAATCAAAAATAAAGACAATATTAAAATTACTGCTGTCATGAGATTAAAAACATATTTTACATTAATTATGTATGATCTGTAATTAATCTGTAATTAATTTTCCCTGCTTCAGCACAGCTGATTTCAGTTGATGGCTGATGAACAAGCTTTTGCTTCACTGCAATCATCTCAGTACGGTCTGCTATCTCACAGAAACTCCAAAATCATGCAGGGCAGTGCGCCTTGAGGACCAGGGTCTAAAAACACTCCTCTGATTATGATGTTATGAACGGCACCTTTTTAAGTCTGCTTAAGTCTCATCATTTACTAATTAGTTGCTGGTTAGGAAAATTGGCTTTGCACCATTCTTTCCTTATTCTATATTTAGCATGTAACAACGATTAAAAACAAAACTAACATATTCCCTATGTAATGTATAGTATTTATCCCTCAACAGTAGATCGTGCCAGATATTAATATTGTTCTAAAACATGATAAAGGAGCTTTAAGTCAAGGTTTATATAATTACACATATCAGATTAGCACTCTAACCATAATAATAAAGCCCATCAGGTGTAGAACTCAGATACGAACATAAAACGCTTAAAAAACTAACATATTTCCCCCTGTAAAATATATTTTCCACCAAAAAGTAATCATGACCACACAACACATCTCCCCAAAGCTATAAAAGTGTTCCTACAGGTTTCTTCAACTTAAATTTATGTCTGTTTAAGATCTTTCTAAAGCCATATGGAAAATTAATACCTATTTCACGACACCATCAGCAATAAATAAATAAATCAAATTAAATTATTGAACTAGTTTTCATTTATTTATCTTTATATCTTTACCAATATATTTTGACAAAACACTGTGTGGGCACTTGGTAGAAGATCGGTTATATTTTAAACAAATGGTTAAAAATATAACTGGATCCATCTGGTTTGACATTAGAACCTTAACAGTTTTTGTTGCCTATATTTGAGTTTAATTTTAAGGATTTTTTATTGTTAATTTCATGACCCTAATTTATTTCTTGCAGTATTTCTATTGTATAAAAGCAACAGTGCAAACAGTAAAGACACAAAATTGAAATAAATGTCTAAAAATAGCCTTTATTAATACTAATGCTTCTCTTGGTGTCATCACTTGTTTGGAATATTTTGATGAACTTCAGAAGAAAAATGCAGTACAGAAAACTTACATCCAACACAAATTTTAAGACCCAGATGCCAAAATTGAAGGGTTTCTCCAGTCTTTTAAAGGTATTACTTTCAAATTCATAAATTCAATGCTTTTAAGACTCCGCGAGAACCCTGTAAACATTTCTCCTCAAAAGTAAGTTGCCCTGCATGTGTAAAATAGGCTATATGTATCATCTAAAACTCACAATGGACAAAACCCCTTTTATTTCCAAGTTTATAAAACGTTCGCCCCAACATTGGTCCTCGATATTGTTAAAACAGAGAAAGAAAAAACCTAGCTTACCTCCATTTTGGTAGCTACTTCCCTCTGTCCCGGCTACAGCATTGCACACACACAGCATAGCGGTTTCCCGGTTCCACTGAGAGAGGAGGAGGAGTCAAATAGCTGTCTCCGCCCACCTATAAACATTTGATCCCGCCCACATTTAGCCCTGCCCCGATCTCCGGGAGGCAGTCAGGGGTAAACTTTGGGCCATGCGGAGATGCGGTGGAGGGGCGTGGTTGTTAAAATGACGCAATTTCGCCGAGCGGAGCCGTGCGGACCTCACGGTCAAGCATTAACCAACCTCAAGGCACCGCACTCCACACCAGGTGTGGCAGGGAGAGACAAAGAGTTGTGTGTGTGCGTGTGTGTGTTTAGGTTGGTTTATGCTTGATGCGTCCGCGATGTCCGCACGGTTCCGCGTGGAAAAGTTGCATCATTTTGCGTCATTTTAACAACCACGCCCCTCCACCGCGCCTCCGCACGGCCCAAAATTTCCGCAACGTGCACCAAGGAAATTTTCTAACCACGCGGACGGTTGGACGTGGAAAAACATGGCGAACTGGCAAGAACTAGTATGGCAGAGGTTGGTAAATACAGACATTTGTATGATTCAGCTCTCAGAGATCACCGTGATCAACATGTTGTTAATAATTCTTGGAGAGAAATAGCTCGCACTGTCGGAAAAGACGAGGACGCTGTTAAAATGCTGGAATGCCATGTTGTAAACAGTAATTTCTACTTCTACTATGGTGTAGTGTTGGATACATGCCGTAGAGCTCCATGCTGCCCCCTACAGTTTGGGAGAATATTGGCTCACCGCAGAGACGAGCCGCATGAACCATAAACGCTGCGAGTTGTGAAGCGCGTTCCATCCGCGAGCCGCATCACCAAGCGGAAAGTAAACGCGTCAAGCATAAACCAAGCTTTACGTCCCCGACAGGTGTTGTAAAAATGTGAAGGATGGGGTAACGTAAGAACTGGCGGGGGAGTTTAAAATGGGTTTATTTGTAACAAAAAGGTATTAAAACACAAGCAAACAGATCTCTCTAAAAAGGTTAACATTACACAGCCAAATTATCAACTATAAAACACCTGGTCAAAACTTATATTAAAAGTTTAACCGAGCAGAAGGTGTTTTAAAATCCCAAAGTTGATAAAAAGTCCCAAACAATTTACTGATTAAAACACCTGGTAAAAGCTTATTTTAAAAGCTTTACCACACAAAGGTGTTTAAAAACCAAAGTCAGTAAAATTGCACCAAATACAGTTAAGCTTTAAAAAACTTATCACCAACAGTTAAAAACTACCACAGTTTAAAACTCCAACGAATCCAAACGGACGCAACCAAAAAGGGGTTAAAACCAAACAAAACCCAGGAGGACAGCAGAACCCCTGCACCACTGCCTCCCAGACTGCTGAAGGCACAGCCCTTATGCAGGTGTTTACCCATCAGGAAGATTTAGCTCAGCTGTGCTCCTCAGCAGCCCGGGAGAGAGGAGGAAGAGGGGCGGTATCAGGCTCATTCACTAGAGCTGGATGATCCTGGCTCCTGCTCTTCACTGGCCAGACTGGCAACCGTAACAGTGTGTGTATGCGTGTGTTTTGGGGGGGGGGGGGGGGGGGGCACTTTTAAGACCAGCTCCTGATCACATGACCCCACATTGCAGCTGGGCATAAATGGATGACAACTGCTTGTCGTAGTGGAACTGTGAAAGTCAGCACCATTATCTTGAAGGGGGACAGTACAGGTGGATGTGTGAGGACTTGGAGAGACGCTTCCACTTAAGACAAAAAGAACTTGATGCAGATACAAATTGTCATCGTCCAGCCTTTAATGCAGTTTTAACATCTGCAGCTTAGAAACGTCTTTGAGCTCAGAGGAGATAAATAACGGAGCATCATCTGCATACGGTGATGGAGCTCGAAAAGTGCTGACAAGGAAACGGAAAGGTTTCTAAAACAGATCCCTGTGGCACAACATTAGAGCTTTATTTAAATACAATCCGGCAACCTGAAAACATCCAGTTAGTTTACAGGAGAACAGTTAGTCCTCTGAGTTTGAGCAAAATCTGTTTCAAACTTGGTTTTGCAAGGAAATTTAAAAAATAGGTGAAAAATCTGATGTTTTTACACAAGTTCAACACAAATTTACTGAATGAGTTAATGTTTAAATAAAAACAAAACAATCGTCAAGTGTCGGCTCATGTGTTCTGTCTGCAGGCTCTAGTGAGACTCCCGCCCCAGATCTCTCAGAGCGAGGAGGTTCTTCGCTTCTTCGAGACCAAAACGGAGGACATCAACCCCCCTGTGGAGTGAGTGAAGGACACACACACACACACACACACACACACACACACACACACACACACACACACACACACACACACACACACACACACACACACACACACACACACACACACACACTCATATTTGTTTGAACGTTAGTACAGACCCAAGATTTACATGAAATTGTCGACCCGAAGCTATAATCTTATTAAAAGAAAAGATTTAAAACTAAACGGGACAGAAGCAGAAGTAGAGCAGAACCTGGTGAGGAAGGTGAAAATGGCTCCTTCACCAGCTCTGCTACCTTCTGGTGAAGGTTCTCAGCCATCCACGTCGTGGTAATCCAAAAGGGTTCACATGAAGGCAACTGGACTTGTTTGGTTTCTAGAAGACGTTTCGCTTCTCATCTGAAGAGCTTTGTCAATCCTGACTGGAATATGGGAGAGTCAGGCTTATAGGCTGTAGCTGTCTCGAGCAGAAACCCACATTCCCATCAGAACTGACAAAGCTCTTCAGATGAGAAGAGAAACGTCTTCTAGAAACCAAACAAGTCCAGTTGCCTTCATCTGAACCCTTTTGGATCTGCTACCTTCACCTCCTGGTTTGGTTTGGACGTTCTTGGTATTATTTCATCTGATCTCACCTGCTGGTTCGGTTTCTCCGAGTCTGAGAAAAGGTGTGAAAGTCAAAGGGATAAATCAGGATGGTCATTCCTAAACTGAGAATCCTGTGAGTTTTTAAAGAGAGAGTTTCCACTTTTGTTTTAGAACCGCTGACATCATCATCTCTTTAAGGTGCTGAAAACAAACATTTAGGAATCTGCAACAGTTCTGATTAAACGAGATGAATTCTCAAGATTATTATCCCTTTAAAATCCAGCTGAAACACGAGGACGTGCAGTTAAATCCCAACTCTGACCTCATCAGTCTGTATGAGTTCCGCCTCCGTTGCCATGGTGATCTAAAGAGAACGTCCTTTGTGATGCTGAAACCTAAACAGAACAGGAAGTCCAGCTCTTTGGTTTCAGAACAGGTTCTGTTTTGTGTTTTCATTATTTTACTTTTAGTCCTTTCTTCTTTCCTCCTCTGGCAGCATCCCCAGTTTGGGTTTGAGGATTCTCGTTAGGATGTCTAACAAATAAATATAGTCTGATGTGGAATAAAGCCGAACATGTTTTTAAACAGGCACCGTTTGGGTTTACAGGTGGTTCTAATCTTTGAGTTCAGGTTGAAGGTAGTGTCACCTTTGACCTTCTTCGCTGACACGTTCCATCTCGCTGTCTCAGATCAGAACGCGATGTGTATGTAGAGTGGGCCGGGCCTTTTCGGTGCTGGCGCCCAAGTTATGGAACACTTTTCCGTAGAGCGTCAGACAAGCTCCAGCTTTTACCAATATTGTGCAGCCCTAAAATTCAAACATTTAGTAGGCGTGCGTGTGTGTGTGTGTGTGTGTGTGTGTTTTCTCTTTAAAGAGCAAGCCACCCCCAAATCAACCTTTTTTGCTGATAAACTATATAAATGAGTGTCTAATCGTGCTGCAGACATGTGTAGTCAGTAATTTGGCACTTTAGTGCATCTTTGTTAAAATTTAAATTTTCTGCCTAAAACTGTCAGTGCTGCGCCGTCGTCAGGTAAAAACTCTGCACTGCATTTGAATTTAAATCTGCCACCGCTATTGGCTAAGAGGTACCCTATGACATTAGCTGGTACGTTATGATGTCACAATGCTTTTGTGAGCCTGTTTGTGTGTATTTGTTAGTGGCTCCGCCCTCGGTCTGCCAGGCAACAGCATTGGTTGCATTTTTCAAACATGAAGTGGGAGTGGAGTGAGTTTCTTGTAGGGGGTGACTTGCTCTTTAACTATGCAGCACGGCATTCCAACATAATGTTGTTCTTCATTCTGGCTCTCTGGATTCCTGTGAGCTCATTACCTTCGCATCTGCTCTGACTTTCACATCGACTCCCAGATCTCACTGAGCTGGTTTGTTGGGGGAGGGGGTGATGGATGTAAAAATGGGGGAGGAGGAGATGGTCCCGTTGGGTGATAGTTAATTAGAACAGGCTCGCCTCTCTGAAAACGCCATCATGGCCGCCCTTCATTTGTTATGTGTTCCTGTTTGCTCTGTGATCGCTGCACACCTGAGGCACGCCGACCCGGAGCTCTGGCTCGACTGGTGCTGTCTGCTCTTGTGTTTTAATGACTACCCGTGTGTTTCTGCTTCTCTTCTCTCCGTGACCCCTCTACCTGGTTTCTCCAGCACTAGATCATCTCTCCACTCTTCTGTCTGTAATTGCTTGTGTCCAACTCAGCCTCATAAATTCAAGTGTGTCTAATTGGTGAGACGGCTCAAGGTTACAAACACCTCCGCCAACGCCATTATTCTTTGATAAGCAGCTTGGAGTGGCTCAGCTCTCCATCTACCTGCCGACCACTTAGACTGACGTTCCTCGTCTGCTCTGTAATTCCTCTTGTTTCTCCCATTAACGCTGTTCTGTCCTCTTCACTCCAGGTTAGGCTGTTTGGATAAATCCCATTAATCTTGTTGTTTGTAGAGGATCAGTGATGCACTTTGGTACCTGTCTGACACGCAGCTGATCGTTTTAAACACCTGATTTATTGCCCCCCCCCCCCCCCCCCCCCCCCCGCCGATGAAATGAAGACTTCCTCTCAAGGTTTAGGCTGGATAAATAATTCCTGCTTAGAATAAAAAGCATTAAGTGACAGGAACAACAGTGGGCCCGGTACTGGTACTTGAGGTTCTCCTTTGAACTTTCACTTAGCTGAGACTAGTCAGACTCAAACTATGAGGAAAATAGAAGAAGAAATGTTTGTGTCTGTCTATTTGCTGAGTATTTTCTGACACTAATGTCTGATCAGAGCTTCCTGGTTCCTGCAGCCTCCACCAGCTCCTCTGAGGAGATTAAAGGAGCGATTCATTACATCCGTCTCCCTCTGTGTTTGTTCTGCTGCTAGATCTGCCTGAATGTTTCATAATGGAGGTTTAAAATAAAAAATAAACCCTCTCCTGGCAGCTCGGTTTGCTGTTTGCATTTCATTTTTTGTACGTTTGGGATGCCGGTTCCCGTAACTCAAGACAAACTTCCATTAAATTAGATTGGAAGCTAAACAAACAGAACCAACAGGATCGGCACGAGGAAACGATAGAAACAGACTCAGAATCCACTTTAACAAGATTTTATGCTGAAAAGCTTTCCTCTGCTTTGTTAAAGAGCTCATTTACTCCTTTATTCTACAGGGTCTGGATGGATGGATGGATGGATGGATGGATGGATGGATGGATGGATGGATGGATGGATGGATGGATGGATGGATGGATGGATGGATAGATAGATAGATAGATAGATAGATGATAGATAGATAGATAGATAGATAGATAGATAGATAGATAGATAGATGATAGATAGATAGATAGATAGATAGATAGATAGATAGATAGATAGATAGATAGATAGATAGATGATAGATAGATAGATAGATAGATAGATAGATAGATAGATAGATAGATAGATGATAGATAGATAGATAGATAGATAGATAGATGATAGATAGATAGATAGATAGATAGATAGATGATAGATAGATAGATAGATAGATAGATAGATAGATAGATAGATAGATAGATAGATGAAATAAGAAACAAATAAAAATTCTACAATAAATGCCTCCATACAGCTACGTGATACATTAAAATGATCAAATAATGTAGAAGAATGAATGAATGAATGAGTGAATGAATGAATGAAAATACAGTTCTGATCCCACTAAATCACAATTAGAGGAAATTTGTCGGATTTAGAAACGTTCCTGATTGTGGAAAAGCTCCTTTCAGAGCATTATTGGTGCTGCCGGTTCTGATCCAGATGGACCAACACCTCCTCCAGGTTCTGGTTCTGGTTGGGAACCTGCCTCTTACGTCTCGGCTAAAATGGACGGGCCTTCTGGGCCACTATAATGCATCTGCTGAATCCAGATGATTTGTATGTGCGTGTAGAGGGTGTGTGTGTGTGTGTGTGTGTGTGTGTGTGTGTGTGTGTGTGTGTGTGTGTGTGTGATGAGATCACCAGATGATTTAAAGGCCTGATTGAGAGTGTGTGTTGGTGGTGTGTAAGTACACAAGTGTGTGAGACACAGGAAGAAAGAAGGTAATTCATCAGTAGGTGTGTGTGTGTGTGTGTGTGTGTGTGTGAGAGAGAGAAAGAGAGAGAGAGAGAGAGAGAGAGAGAGAGAGAGAGAGAGAGAGAGAGAGAGCGAGAGAGAGAGAGACATCTCTTGCTTTATCTGCTGGTAAATTATGGAAAAAATGAGAATAAAAATCACAAAAATGATTTGATGATTTGATGATTTGATGCTCAACAACAATTAAACACAGATTAAAACAAAGAAAGAACATGTTTAATATTAATGTCTGAGTTAATTTGGCAGCTGTGAGGCATAAAAGGTTCTGATAGGCGTTTATTTTAGTTGTTGGTCCATTATCCAGAACCGGGTCACTTGTTGCTGTCATGTTTGCTAGATGTAGTCGGGGCGGGGTTGTGCTCCAGTTACCTGGTAAAAGTACTTAGATTAGAGCTGTGCTGTTCCCTGAGATGCTCCAGGTGGTTCGGATCTGAGGATCTGAAGCAAGTCAAGGTACCGCCATCAGTGTAGTTCTACAGCGTAAAGGTCTGGGCCTGCTGATCATGGTAAGAACCAGAGACATGTCTCAGCTGATTCCTGTTTCTGCTCCGGTCAACACCTGCACCTGGACACTGGGTCAGACTAAATGGTCTGTTCCTGTCTGCAACATACAGGAGGAACAGCATGGTGAAGCTAACAGGCAGTGATGGAGGTGTTGACTTCATCACTTCCTGGAACAGGATGGATGGAGACCATGGAGGAGAAGGCCTGACTCCTCAGGTCTCTGTGATGCTGCAGGAGGACAAAGCAGCAGCAGCGTGTTTCTGAGACGTCTCCTCTCTCTTCCCAACCATCATGTTGCTGCTTTCCTCCATGTTGGATTAGATTATATTCTGATCGGAATACATCCCATTCATCAATCCTCTGGAAGCAGCAGGAGCAGATCCATCGGTCTACCCTCCTCTTCAGGTCTGCACGCTGTTGCCCCTGTTGGCTCAGATTGGTACTGCAGCTGTGATTTAGTTCAGCGTCACATTTCAAACGTTCAGCTATGGTTCGGCTGCATTTTATTATTGTATTTTCACCTTTTATGCTTTTATTTTTTACATAAAACAACAAACCCTGAATAAAAATCTGTTAAAGTATAATGAACATAACAGAAACAGGGAGGTTCTGATCAAACCCGGTACATAAACATGTCTTCTGTAGCAGAAGGAGAACATTTTACTAAAGTCATGTTTGATCTGTGCTCACTAATCTAGAACCCGTCCAAGGTGTGGCTCGCGGGTCGTCTGCGTCCCACACCTCGACTCAAAATTCCTGAAGGGTAGAATTTCATCCTCCAGCTGGATGTTGATGCAGATAAAGATTTTTATACCTTTTATGTTTGGATTTATACTAAAGTTACCTGGTAACTGGGAGCACAAAGCCTCCCTGACTAAATCCAGCAAACATGACAGCAGAATGGGGACCCAGATCCAGATAACGGACTCACATTTATTTATCAGATCCAGAAACTAACCAGCCATTGGAAACTTTTATGTCTCACAGCTGGAACATTTACTCTGACTTTATTAATAAATACATTCTGTTTATATTATGTTTATTTCTTGTTGATCAGCTATAAAAAAATCACAGTAATATATTTTTGCATTTTTAAATGAAAACAACTGAAAATGTGGGGCTTGCATACATGTACTGTAAGCGTGACTCCCTCTACTGTCCACATGGGGGCGCAATAACCAACACATGCAGCTGCTCCTCCTGAGTTCACCTCTTATTTCCACTGCAGGCAATTTGCCTCCTGGACTGATTTAAACGTTCATTCTGACTCCGTGATGCAATGAACCATATAATATAATATAATATAATATAATATAATATAATATAATATAATATAATATAATATGATATGATATGATATGATATGATATGATATGATATAATATAATATAATATAATATGATATGATATGATATAATGAACCATATAATATAATATAATATGATATAATGAACCATATAATATAATATAATATGATATAATGAACCATATAATATAATATAATATAATATAATATAATATAATATAATATAATATAATATAATATAATGAACCATATAATATAATATAATATAATATAATATAATATAATATAATATAATATAATATAATATGATATTATATAACATAATATAATATGATATAATATAATATGATATGATATAATATAATATGATATGATATGATATAATGAACCATATAATATAATATAATATAATATAATATAATATGATATAATGAACCATATAATATAATATAATATAATATAATATAACACATCCATTCATTTTCAGCTGCTTATCCGGGGTCAGGTCGAAGGGGCAGCAGCCTAAGCAGGGAGGCCCAGACTTCCCTCTCCCCAGCCACTTGGGCCAGCTCCTCCAGGGAATCCTAAGATGTTCCCTCGCCAGTCGAGAAACATAGTCCCTCCAGGGTGTCCTGGGCCTTCCTTTAGGTCTCCTCCCGATCAGACATGCCTGGAAAACTTCACCAGGAAAGTGTCCTAACTGTCTGACCTCAACTGGCTCCTCTCAATATGGAGGAGCAGCGGATCTACTCTGAGCCCCTCCCAAAGGGAGAGCCCATCCACCCTGTGGAGAAAACTCTTTTCGGCTGCTTGTATCCACGATGTGAACATCTGAGATGCATGCACAAACACAAACACCTCTTAATATTTATTTATTCATCCACTCATTTTATTATGAAGGATTCATTCTCACACAAACAGAAGTGGAAGATTTACTCAGACCAGCTGATTGAACAAACTCATCTTCATCAGCTTACAGTCGGTCTCTAGGAACTCTTTATATCCTTTAAAAAAACAACTTTGGCGTTCCACAGAACCTCCGTCTTCTTAGTTGCTGCTGTGTTTTCAGCCCATGACCTTTCACCTCCTGCTTCGTCCTCTTCATACCTTCATCAGATGCTGGCAGTCAGAGCCAGTCGCTCCGGCCTCCAAGGACGAGTTTGATTTCAGCCTCAGTGACGCGGGTCACTGGCTAACCCCCCCGCGCACACACACACACACACACGCACACACACACATACGCTCACACACACACACGCACGCACGCACGCACACACACACACTCACTCTAATGTGTTACAGATGCTTGTCAGCCCAAACCTCCAACCATGGAGCTAAAAATAGTCAGCTGTTCTCCTTCTGGCTTCGAACGTTTGGAGTTAGCTTCTCAGCTAACTTGCTAAATACATTTTAGCTGTTTTGCACTTTTTAACAAATATGAATAAATAATTAAAACCCTTTGGGCCCTAGGCCTTTTGCTGCTACGTCTGTTTGTCCCCCAGTAAGGAGACGCTAGGGCTCTAGGGGTTAATGCAAATCAGCCTGCACACTTATTTATTAGTTACAGTAATTTGCACATTGGTATGGGGCGCTGATTATAAAATATCACAATTTAACATCTTTATTTTGTTTCAGACATTTTGTTTTTAATTGAAATCTATTTACATTAAGAGTAGTGATTTATTTTCAAACATATGCACTTGCATGATTGTATAGTTGCAATACACAATCATTTGGAGTAGGCAGAAGTATAAATGTGTTTGTCACGCCGAGCAGGAGGTTAGGACCCAAAAACGCAGAACACCAGATCACTCCACACAGGAGCGGATGTAAAGAAATAAATCCTTTATTTAAGGAGGAAGCGGTCAAAAGACAAAGCAGAAGCTCACGTAAGAGCACAGACTCGGGCCAAACTCGAGAGGGACCCGAACAACGCACCAACAAACACTGATGGACAAGACAGGGTTTATAAACACAGAGGGAACGATCAGGGGAACAGGTGACAGGTGTGAGGAGTGAGGTCTGGAGGGAAGACAGGTGCCATCAATAAACTAAATGAGGAAGGAACAAGCAGAGGGGAAGATAAGCCGGAACCTATAAACCACTAAATAACTAAACCTAGAAACTAAGGGCAAAGATAAACTACTAGTGACTAGCGGGGCGAGGAGGGCTAATGCAAACAAATAGGAACTACACGGGAGTGACTAGGAGGAAACATGAGGGAAGCCTAGAGGGGGCTGGGGACCAAGGGGACACAGAACATGACAGTATTTACACCGCCCTTTAGATGAAGCTCATCCTTTAGTAAAGAAAAATGTCTTTTTCACACAAACAAAAGAAAACAAACAAAAAATAAAATAAAAATAGTCAAGTCTCCTGTAATGGAAATACTAATGTCTTTATTTACATACACACTTCACGAACTAAAACAGCTATTATACTAGCATTTCTACTATTATTATTAATAATAATAATAATAATAATAATAATAATAATAATAATAATAATGTCATCATCATCCTGGAAATAAATTTTCTGCATAAATGAAGACCTGCTGCAGTGACACAAACAGGTAGCCCTCAGGGACGTGTCAGGGGTCCGGCTAATTTTTATTGTTTATCCATGACCTCTGGTTCCCCAGGAAGGAGGTGGGCTGTCCATCCATCCATCTGGAAATAAATTCAAAGTCTATTTTAAACTCTGGATGAGAACATCTCATCAGAAAAACTGGACAATTGGCTGAAAGTGTTTAGTTGGCGCTGCGCCCGTCCCCGTGCTCTCAGCGGTACGAGTGTAAAACATCTGGGAAGCCTTCAATAATAGTAATAAATGCCCCTAAATCACCGGATGATTCTGATCCATTCAAGGCTGACTTTGTCTCCTATCAGAGGTTTGATAATTAAGAGCCGTTGCATCAGTGACCTTCCTGCCTCCAGCCCTTTCGTCTACTTGGGGGGTTTGTGTTTAAGATTTTAGAGGACAGAGGACACGCCTCCTTAAGTTTCAGGAGGACTGAAGTTTTTCTCCTTATGTTTCAGTATTTTTGCTGTATGATTGTGTAATAATGCTGCAGCAGCTGCAGGTGTCACATGGTTGGATGTGAGGTGAGACGAAGGTCACACTTAGAATCAAAGACATGAAGTGAGAATGTGAGGTGCTGATAGATGGACGTCCGGCCTCTGTTTCTATAAATAGCATCTAATCCCATTCCTTTGTGTGGATGTTTAACTGAGTTACTGACGGAGGAAGACAACCCTCAGATAAAAGTCTGTCAGCCTTCGATCTGCAGCTCAGCCCAGGGGAATAATCCCATTAGGCTCCATTAAGCAAATCATCTTAAACTGGTGCCCCTCCTTTCTGATGTGGGGAGAGCTTGTCTTTGTCTCCGCAGGACAACAGGGGACGGGGAGAGCATGACGGTGCTGCTGTAGAGTCACATGACTGGTTTGTGTCTGTTGCAGGGTGGGTGGGCAGCAGGCCAGAGTCATCCCTCCCTCTCTCTCCTTATCTCCAGGCTGCTAGAGGCCGTGGCGTTCCTGCAGGAGCTGCAGCATCAGGATGTGTTGAACTAAAGTTTGCTTCAGTCACATCTGCTGTCTCTAACATGTCCTTCTTGTGTTGCTTCTTCCTCAGGGACTATGGATCCAAGCGCAAGTCGGGTAAGCCTCCTGCTTTTCTGTTTCTGCTCGTTCATCCAGACAGCGTCGCTCCTGGAGATTTACCGGGAGCTTAATGACCTGTTTGTGTGTCCAGTCTGTCAGTTCGATGTCCATGTGTGGTTTGTTTACTGTCCTGCTGCAGGACTTCCTGTGCTGTAGGGAGGGGGGGTTCATCCCTCTGCCCTTTGGTCATGATCATAGGTTGGATGTAGAGATCAAGGAGGCGTCACCTCATTACCTGGATCCTGTTAGGGAGAAAACGTCACACTCGGATTTGGCTGTTGGAATATTTAGGGATTGTTTGGGAGTTCCAGTCAGAGCATTTTGGTCCAAACAGGAAGTCTAACATCTGTGTGCTTAAAGAGGTAAACTCAGTTGTCTTTGTCCTACTGGAGGATTTCCTCTGAGGATAAAAGAACCCCGAAATATTCAGGTTCTGAACTGGATTGATCCAGACCAAAATAACCCGAAGCTATAGAAAAATGCATCCTATTCCTAGCCTAGCATCTCAGCTAACGTTCAGCTCAGTCAGAGAACAGCTGATTGATAATAACATCTGTCCTCGGTGGAGACTAATAACTGGATTTTTGAGGGAATGGAGCAGACTGTGGAAACAGTCGTTTCCCTTATGAATTATTGAGGAGCAGATTCAGGAAATAGCTGGTGGTTGATGGAAAACATTCACCCTCAGACAGAAGCCATAAAAGGCAACTTTGTCTTAAAATGCAAGATACTTAGCGTTGTTAGCGTCTCGTCCTTAAAAGTGATTCAGCTTCTTATTCCAGAAGCCTTAAACTGGCAGGCTCACCTCCAGCTGGAGCAGACATCTTAAACATGTCGTAGGAAAAAATCACTGAAATAAACAAACATTTAATTATTACCATACATTATTCTTATATTGAGGGGATCATTTTCACAAATCTCAGCGTGATGCTAGGTGCCTCCCTAAAGATGGAGGCACAAGTAAATAAATATGAAGCCTTTGTCAAGGACTTGAAAAGGCGACCTGCCTTTGTTACGTCCAGGTCCTGTGGTCAAATGTGATTACCGCAATCAGTTTTTAAGTGAAAACATTTCTTCCTCACTGCTGTTCCTTGGCTTCTATCGCTGGTACCAGCTACGGATCAGCGCCAGAAAACGACTAGACGACAAGCAAAGACGGGTTACACATAGTAGGTGGATAAGTAGATACATACGTTTTCATGTCTGATGTTAGCACTCTTGGGTGTTTTACGGTAGGGAGCTAGCCTGGCAAGCCAGACTAAATAAATATATTATTTAATCTGGAACGCCCCGTTGACAGCTCTTGGTCATGGGGCACATTGTCTTTCAAACCATCTCCGCATGCTACTGGACAATGAACGCGACGTACTCATCGCAACAGATGTTGGCAAACGAGGCGGTCCGCAATTGAAGAAGGCGAAAATACTTATTTTTTTCTAAACAAAGAACTTAAATACATCAATCTGCTCCTGATTCTAATAAAGCACGTCCAAACAGTCCAAAAAAGACGTAAAAGCTGGTTCAAACTAGCTGTCGCCATCTTGTTCCACTCTGTTGCATCATCCTGCCCACCAGAAGAATAGATGGCCCTGATTGGCCCACAAAGTGGATAATGCGCTGTGATTGGCCCACCATTAGGGATCAATCACAGCTCTCTGTAGGATTGAAAACCCTATGGAGAGCTGTGATTGGCGGCCAGAATGCTGCTAGGGGCTGCGGAGGTTCCAATGGAGCTTTCCTGGACCGAACGTTGCAAAGCAAGAATTTGGTCCAGCTCACTGGGCTAGAAGGGAGCATGTACTACACTTGTTTGTTTGCCTTTTCTTGATAGTTTGCTGTTTACATTCTGAATGACTGATTTAAAGTCGTAAAATGCGACGATTGACTTTATTCACTTCGCACATACATTTCAATGTAATATTGAGTTGTTGGTAATTGAAAAAGTAGCTTGAGGCGACTATTTGCTTCTAGTTCACCGTTAGCATTGTTAGCTCAACATTAGCCTCTAGCCTGCTTCACCCGATATTAGAGTAAAACTAAGGCTTCTTAGAGGTAAAAGAAATAACCTCTGGGTTGCTCCTGTTTACTGGCTTTGGTTCTTTAAACAACTCTGGAAGTTTTCGCCTGCTGGTGTCGTCTTACAAATGCCCGCGCTGCAGCTCACTGCAGATTCAGCAACCTCGCAGACTCACACTTCCCTCTTTGCTTTATTTTTTCAATGTGAGAAAAACTGACAATCCCCCAGCTGTCCGAGAATGAAATCTGTTTCCTTCCAACATGATTGAGACATCAGACTGTTTTGTGATTATTTCACAGTAGAATTCTTACACACAGCACCTTTAAGCTACTGCAGTTCATTATTTGGTGCACTTACACAGAAATCATTTGCTGAACTGCAAATGGTGCAGAATGCATTGGTCAAGAGGGACCGAATCACTCCCATTCTGGCCACCTTGCACTGGCTTTTTGTCCAAAATCGGATCAGTTTTAAGATTTTGATATTTGATTTTAAAGCCCCTCAAGGCGTTGCTGCCCCCTATTTAGCTGCAGATTTGAGCAGACATGTCCCGAGTCCTTCTCCTGACTCCGCTGATCTGGGTCTCTTGGCCAGATGTAATGGTGCGTTCCAGTTGTCCTCTGAACTTGTTTTTCAGAGATAATTTAGCCAGAAGTCATGCAATGAACTCGGGATTCCGACCTGCAAGCTTGTAGGTTCCAGAGGACCCCGAGATCCTAAATTTAAAGATGGCGGTGTCCCGTGCTACCAGGAAGTGGTTTTTCGTCTTAATTGTTTTCTCACTTGCATGGTCTGTTTTCCTTCTTTATGCTATTTAACAGCACCGAGTTGTTGTTTATTGTTGTTATCAATAGCTACATTGTTGAAAATTTCAATATTGACGTCAAAGTTGACCGGTGTTTATGGTTTTTACTTTTCCTGGCATTTCTGTTCCTACATGCGATTTGTTATCTTTTTCAGGTCGTATGTGGCAACTGGGTCACTAGTATTTACATGCAGAAAATACTTGGTTATGTCTTTTGGTTTAAAACTCAACAACACTGATGGCGTGTATTTTTCCGAGTTGGAAGCTTGAACACAAAACAACCTCGTTTTGTCATTTCCTGCTCGGAAATTCTGAGTTCCGAGGACAACTGAATGGCAGCCTTAAACCAAACACACCCACATCACCCTACTGCTGGTTGACTTCAGAATCCTAGGGCCTTACATGGACAAGCACCATCATATGTTGGTGATCTTCTCAGTCCCTACATCTCCAGCCAGTCCCGGAGGTCCAGTGACCAAAGCCTAATGGTTGTGCAGAGCAGCAGGCTAAAGGTGACCGATCATCTGCTGCTGTGGCCCCCAGACTAGTGACGCGCAGTAATGAATTTTTACAACCGATAACCGATAATTCCTGCTTCTTACATCCAATAACTGATAACCAACCAATAATTGCTTTTTCAAAAATATCTGGACAAATTACTTGGAAGTACAAAGTAGCAGTGTATAGCTCTGATGATTTTTTCAGCACTATAGCTACCTGAAAAGAAACTGAACAAAAAATTGTACTGAAGTAATTTTATGAACTTTCTTCAGCATAAATGTCATGCTTTGATAGTATGTAAACAGTGAGAGTCCATTACAATTGCCTGAACAAATACTTTAACTTAAAAAAATCCAACAACTCCATTTTCTCTCAAATTATTTACCTAAATAAAGTGCTAAACAATGCTGTGCTTACCCTTGTAATAAGGTGCATGCCTGCTGCTTACTCTTCAAATAAAGTGCATGCTTAGTCTTCAACTTAAATGTTGCACAACAAGCACGTTCTCCTTACCTATATTCCAGTGCTGGAACATGCTTTCAAAAGCGTTGTTGATCGCTTGGGCCGTGTGAGAACCAGGGAGTTCCTGCGGGTGGAGCGTGGCTCAGTGGATGTTGTATTCTTCTTCTAGCCATTGAGCCGTCATGCTTAGCATGCTTACCGGGCTAACATCAGAAGTCCAAATGTCCGTGGTAAGACTGATGTGTTTTGCGTTTTTGTCCAGCAAACTATGATTGTGTGTTGCAAGAAGTTGGTACTGATCCGGTAGGCAGGTGTCCGAAAAGTAGCGTCGGCTCAGTATTTCATTCCATTACTCCAGAAAGTTTATTAGCTGGCGAACGCTCAGGTCCTCCACGAACGAAAACGGCTGGTCGGCAAATGCAGTTAAATCCATGATTCTGTCGTTGATACCCTGATGGGGTATACCAATAGTTACCAGTCCAGAGGCTTTCCGCTTGTTGCCGGGGTGAGTGCTAGCCTTAGCACTAGCAGTGGCGGCTTCGTAATCCTCCCACACGTTGTGCGGTGATGGAGTTTCAAGTGACTGATGAGATTAGTTGTGTTGTAGCTTGTAGCTTTGTTTACCCCCTCATGGCATTTCTGCTGAACATGTGTTACAAACAGCGAGTGAATCATCTTTCTCTGACACGCCAAAGAAAACCCACACGGCTGATTTTGACTCCATGCTAGCGTTGCCTAACAGGCACTCGTCTGTGACATCACTTACATGCGACAGGAGCTTGCAGGATGGGCGGGGGTGAGGAGCCCAGAGCATTCTCAGGGAGAAATTAGCCGGGCAGGTCTGTAAGTTGAGGGTTTTATTATCGGGCCGTTTTATCGAATTTATCTGAATGACATCATAATCGTCCATTATCAGGGGTCGATATTATCGTGTATCCCTACCCCAGACTCTGGACCTCTCTCCCCCTGAGCCTGAGATCAGTGGACTCAGTGGTCTCCTTTAAAAGCAGCTGAAGACTCACTTGTTCAGGCTTTGGTGTGACCTCCTGTTCATCCTCTTCTTTCTCACTGGCTTCTTGTCATGATGGTTTTCTGTCAGTTCAGTCTCTTTCTGCTGTATTTGATTTCTTTGTTTTTTCATTTTTATTCACAATTTTTAACCTTATTTTCTCCCATTTTAATTATGATCTTTTTTAATCATCGATTAAAAAT